CATAATTTTTTTTTTTAAATCCCATTTCCCTTCCCCTTAGTTCGCCTACGTCCTTATAACGTGGACATTTCTGATTCGGATTCATTAGCCTGGAGCCACCCAAGTACTAATGCACGATATAATATTAACCCAGACGACATAGTCCACAGGTGTAACATCGGTTGGCGCTCTCGCACCGCTTGGAATTCTGTAGTCATGTTGTCATTCTGTAGTCATTGTCATGGATGTGCTATTCTTCTCTCCTAAAGACATTACCACGAAATATGTGCAGATAGTGAGTTAATGCATGGGTGTTTCATGCCAATAATGTATTTTGCCCTGAAGTATAACACCTTTTTCAGCCATGACTTTATGAACTCTGTATACCCATTTTCATTCGTTTCAAGTAATATTTTTAATGTACTATTCAACGATAGTTCAAGGAGCATTGCTATAGAGACTGCTTTCTTCCGCAACTTGCTTGAGGTAATCTGCGCGGATCTAAATACACCAGATAAGCAGGAGACATTTGAATTGCATCCGAGTGAAACTATGCGATCTTCCTGCTTTACTCGTTACCACAGACATTTCTTCACCTTGGAATATGGCACGTTTGGCTTATTTCTTGCCAAATCGGCGACCCTTCCTTGTCCAGTCCATCTCCATCAATGTCCATTCGACAGACGAGAACGACTCGTGCCGGTCTTCACGGCTCCTGCGCGTGCGCACGAGCATGCGTTCCATTAGAGCCCTCAAGGGACGACGTCGTCCAGTCGGCTTTTGAATCCATTCACTCTCCGCGACCTTGGAGAGAGAAAATCGCCCCGTCCCGAATAGAACTCTAATCCGATGCCAGAGACGAGCGATTGATCGTAAAATCCTACGCAATCATGACGAAAGAAGTCAGCCTCTGAGAAGCCTCGATGATCCACGCAATGCCCTTGTAAAGGCATGCCATTCGGACTCGAGCCGCTTTCTCTCCGATATTTCCAGGCCCGAAAGGCTTCAGTCCTCCTGCAGAAGTGATGAGAACAAAATGCAAATCAGGATGGACTCACCCACCCGGAACCCACAAGCTGAACCGAAGCACGCACCTCCTCCGCCACGCCGACCTTCACAAGCGGCAGAGGGGTTAAGGCATTCACGCACGCTCAACGCGCGCCTCACGCACCTCCCGGAAAGGGATGGCACGCCCGCTCGAGCTCCTTCGCGTGCCTGGATGCACCTCCAAGCGAATCCGCCTATCCTGCCCAATCGCGTATGTCAGAGCCGTACTTTATCGCTTGCACGTGTCCCGAATTTTTATCATTATTTTGAATGTTGTCCCGAGAAAAACATTCAGCAATATATCGTTCAATTCCTTCCGCCCTCCGATCACCGAATTTTTCTTCGAATCGCCGCACTTGCCGACCGAGATTCCTCTCGATTCTGTTCCGAGCGAATTCGCCTTAAAGCGGCGGGAATTGCGATCGGACACGTGTCTAAGTACTGAGTACTTAGTACTTGGAACCGCGCTCGACCACGGAGAGTCGATCACTCGGGAGTTCTAAATTCGAAAATTGTAATTTCCTAAAAATGTTGGAGATGATCTCAAATCACAAATGAGGAAAATTCATCTCGACTTCGTCTAATGCAGTCCGGTCATTTGAGGTCAATTCCGGTCTCTTGAGGTTATGTGAGGTCAATTGAGGTCAATTGCGGTCTCTTGAAGTCGCACAGGAGTCATTGGAGAATCTCTGGAGAATTTTCGGCATAAGCATTTCTGGAACGTTTATTATATTTTAATGATTCCTCCTATTGGAAAAGTAGGAGGAGGATTAGGATTAAGATATTACGCGGATTACAAAATCGGCGAGTGCAAATATTTTTTTTCTGAAAATGCTCATATTTTAGTAAGATGAAGACGAAAATAGTGGAATTAGCATTGAAGGGGTCCAGTCGCGTTGCGATGACTTGAACTGGGTTGCTCCGAGGTTGCCGGGTTCGCCTCGGCCGGGTTGCCCATGAAGATCTCTGAATCCATCTGGGGGAGGAGTTGGAATTAAGTCCTTGAGGAAATTAAGTCGAGAAATCAAAAGAAAAAAAAATGAGAAACAACCAGAAAGCGTTAAGCTTCACTTAACATTTAAATTCGTGATATCTCTAAGAAGCGATGAAAGAAGAAATTCCAACGGCCTCAATAAATATGGCAATTTCTTGACTCTCCGGGAAGGTTGACTCAAATATCGCTCAAATATTTCAAATACTCAAACATTTTTTGCCCGGGGCAGGTCGCACATGCGACCCGCCACAACCGTAGCAACCGTGGCAACCATAGCAACCGTAGTAACCGTAGCAACCGTGGCAACCGTAACAACCGTAGCAACCGTGGCAACCATAGCAACCGTAGCAACCGTGGCAACTATAGCAACCTGCGTCGCCGCGTCGCCGGTGGGGATGAAGGGGCAGAGGGCGAACTCCTCGTTCGCGAGCCGCAGTCGCCGGACCATCGGCCACACGGCGCCGCGGGCCTCCAGGCCGACCACGGACGCGGTGGCTCCCACCAGGATGGCGTAGACCAGGATCGACGCCGCTGAGGGGAACGGGCCTCCTGGAAAAACAGGCGACGATTCACTCAGGTGAGGCTTTTTTTTTTTAAATGGAAATTCCGCAAAGTCGGAAACCCGAGTTTCAACGCGAGACGACGTGGAATGAAGTTGGACAAATTTGGAGGGTGAAGTGTTATGAGAGTTATTCCATGAATATTAATGCATCAGGTCACTCCCGCGAAGCTAATTCGTTCATGCTCCTGAAATTTCCGACGATATGTCACGTAATTTGCTTAAAATTATAAATTCCCATGAAGTAAATTTTATCGTAACGGCACCAAGAATGTCATTGAAACCATGCTTTCCCAGGCCCACAAACATCATCGGAACACAACGAGGCGACCCAGACCGATCGCGCGGCGCGCAACGGCGTCAGGCGCGCCTGCCGCCCCCACGCAGCAGAGGAAGGCGACGAGCGCGGCCAGCATGCAGACCGACACGGCGAACAGGGCCAGGTGGTACTTGTCGGCGAAGTCCAGCTCCGGGAGGCGCCAGTCTAGGATCGGTCTCAGGCCTTTCCGCGGAAAAATCATTTTCGGATGTGATTATTTTTAGATGAAGGTCCAGGTATTTTTTTTAGTGAAGAACTGCATTTTTCGATGAAGGACTGTATTTTTCGATGAAGGACTGTATTTTTCGATGAATGACTGTATTTTTCGATGAAGGACTGTATTTTTTGATGAAGGACTGTATTTTTCGATGAAGGACTGTATTTTTCGATGAAGGACTATGCCTTTTTTGATGAAGGACAAGGTATTTTTAAATGAAGGACGATGCATTTTCAAGTGAAGGACAATGCATTTTTAAGATAAGAACAATGCATTTTTCTTATGAAGGACAATGCATTTTTAAATGAAAGACTATGCATTTTTAAATGAAAGACTATGCATTATTTGATGAAGGACAATGCATTTTCCACGAAGGACTCTCACGCCTCGTTGCAGTTGCCCGTCCGAAACGACGCGTGAAAACGTATAACCTCCCTCTACTTCCATCAGAGCCTGCCTTCCCGACGAAGAAGAAAATGGAAGCGAGGAACTTCTACTAATATTCGTCTTTGCGAGGCGTGTTGAGGTACTCCCCGCGCCTATTATTCCGCGCCTAATTATTATTATTATTTATTAATTAGTATAGCTAATTTTAAATGTTAAAATAATGAAACTTGTATTATTATTTATAATTAGTATAACTTGACGGCACCTGACCTTTGTTCTTGACCCGAAAGCGGTAGTGGCAGATCTCGCAATTGGCGGACGTGGACATCAAGACCCATTTCAGGATGCACCGCTGAAAACGACCACGTGTCATGACCGCCATGACCAAAATCAAGGAATTGGCAAAAGTGGCAAAATTTTGCGTTTTCGAAATTTGCACGGAAATTCGCAAATAAATACCTCGTGGCAGTGCCGCATCGTGCCCTGGCACCGGCACGGTCGAATCAGCCTCTCTGCGTCCTCCGCGGCCTCGTGACAGATGCGGCAGAAGGCCGCTTCCTCGCAGCGGCAGGTCGCTTCCTCGCAGCAGCAGGTCGCTTCCTCGCGGGAGAAGGTCGCCTCCTCCGCTGGACCTCGCCCCTCCATCGACGCTGAAGCGAGGAGACTCGCTAGGAATTTTCTATTTCCTTGTTGTCATGGAGACCGTTCCATTGTTCCAATTTCCACATATCCCTTTAAAAAAAATTGTTTCTTTCCACGATGTTTCCCCAAAATGCGCAAAATGCTATGTTATTTCTACAAAAACCATCCAGGCAACACCATGCTGACCGCGGCAGTACAATTTCGAAAGAACTGAAGAAATTACTTTTCTCTCGGAAGATGCGACCTTTACTCCTTTATTTAATGGAAAAAAATTGCCCTTCCCGCCCTAAAAACGAAACAGGCAAGCCCTTCGAAAAATCATGAATAGTTATTCTCGAACACAGTTTACCATTTAACGATAGAGATGTAAAAAAAAAGCCAAAAAGCAGCAAATAATCCATATTATCCATTTATTTCATGGATTGTTTGTCAAGTCGAGTTCAAGTTCGAAATAATAATTAAAAAAAACTCCCGGAACATAATCTGTTTTCACCTGCCGATTTATTGGCTTGCTAATTTTCATGATTTTTATGCGCTGCATATCTCATTTTTCATTGGAATGGTTGAGAGGAGCTTTCATGTCGCACCTGAATGACCTGCCGATGTTAATTGATTTCCTTCAAGTTCAGCCGTTGCCCTCCGATGAGTACGCCTTCAAGGTCGAACCGACCTCCCATCCGGTATGGCCGACCTCCACTCCGGTATGGCCGACCTCCACACCGGTATGGCCGACCTCCACTCCGGTATGGCCGACCTCCCCTCCGGTCGTGCAATCGGCGTCCACATCCCACATCACGCATATCGGGAGGAATAAACAAACACGGGGGAAACCTGTTCCTCCTCGCCTTGAATCTCAATGAACGCGGTGAAAGTCGCTCTTCCCTTTGCAGTGCCTTCGCAGCGTCCTCGCAGCGTCCTCACCGCGTCCTCACCGCGTCCTCGCAGCATGGAGAAGGCGTACAACAGGCACAAGGAATGGATCGAGGAGAACAGCAAGTTCTTCCTCCCGCCGATCTGCAACAAGATGATGTGAGTCCATTTCATATCCATTTCAGATTTTAAGGACGCCATTTGAATTAGGACGCAACTTGAATTAGGACGCAGTTTCCAGTCAAATTTTGCATCTTTTTCGAATGGATTTTCAGATTCAATTTGGTATTTAATTTATGTTTTAAATTCGAAAACTAATTAAATAAATTTTTAGTGCCTTCACAGAAAAAAAATCGTTTTCGATTTTGGATTCGAAACGAAACTCGAAACCGAAATTTTGCAAAAATCGACCGCATGGTTAGCAACTAACCTTGAGGTTAACCGAAGGCCGGGAAGGTAACCCAACGGTATGTTAAAAATCGACCTTGAGGCAGCCAGACATTCCTCGGACGCGAGACAGGGCTCTCCCTCAGAGAGAAAGCTGTTGACACATTCCGACATATCCATGTCATATCGATAATGTGACATCCATCATGTCGCATCCATCATGTCACATCGATCATGTCATGGAAACCCAACGATAAAGATCGGGATCTCGCGGCCGGAGGGCTCATCCTTCGAGAGTCAATATTTCCATTTTTCTTTTTAAACTCTTCGATAAGCCCCCTATAAGCTTTTCAGTCCCTTTTACTCCGACGTCTTTTGCTAACTACTTGCAGCAAATAAGTTGCCGTTTAGCATATTTTGACATACCATTTGGCAACTGTATTTGGGTAGTTCCTATGCTTCAGGAAAAAGGTTCAATGGCTGAAAATATGAGTGTTTGATATTGCATATCAAACACTCATATTTTGGTTTTGGTTTTAAGTATTTATTGGCGTGTCCCAATTTGGCAAACACTGCATAGGAACCGATAGTGCTTTCATTTTTTCATTTATTTAAATGACAATGTTTGGGACTCTTCGGCATCTAATTCAGGCCCTAGCCTGAAGACTATTATTGTTGCCTGCAAATAACGTAATTCTATGTTTAACTACCGAAATAAATTCGTGGCGGTATTATTAGGTAATTACCAGTGAAAAAATTACCAGATTTAAATGCTGGGTATATACGAAACATATCTGCGCTTAAAATATTCGTGCTTAAAAAATGAATTTAATGACCATGAATCAGTCCAACCCTGGCAAACGCTTGTATTTGCATGTTAAAATTAAAAGAAATTGCAGCCGAACTGTGAAGTATTACCCTACAAAAAAAAACATTTAGGATCCGGCACGATTTTGGAGCATACATATATTATAGGATTCCTATAGGACTCCTATAGGAATCTTACAGGATCTTATAAGAATCCTATCGGACCCTATAATAACCCCATAGTAATACCATGAGAATAGTAAAATGCATTATGTTACCAATATCTCGTAGCATCCTATCGGATTATTTCTTTCAGGTAATTAAGGACGATTTGTAGACTTTCAATGGAAATGCTTTTCGCGATTCCATCGACCTTCCATTATTATAATACCTACTGGGGTCAATTGTGCAAATCTGGGCCGACTATCGCTTATAGGCACCAGGATAGCCAGCTGAAGATTTTCTACGTCGGCGGTCCGAATCAGAGGGAGGACTTCCACCTGGAGGAAGGAGAGGAATTCTTCTACCAGAGGGAGGGCGACATGGTGCTGCGGATCATGGAGAGGGGGCGGTTCAAGGATGTCAAGATCAAGGAAGGGCAGGTGAGACAGTAAGGATGTCAGATTCGAGGAAGGGCAGTGGAGGCGGTAATGATGTCAGGAGCAAGGAAGGGCTGGTGAGACTGAAAATAAAGGATACGTAATTCGTTGAATTTTAAGAATTTGTATGCTTTCAATTTTCAACTGGGGATTCAACAGGAATTGGCGCAGAGACTGCATCGAGTCTGTTTCTGGATTTAATGGCGACATATAATAATATAATATATAATAATATACACCGACGCATAATAATAATCGTTCGGTATTCTTTTCACTTGCGAGTGTGGCGGTGATGGTATGAGTCATGGGACGGTTCAGCCTGAACTGGAAATTAGTGAAATGTTGGATTTGGGGATTTTGAATTCCGTGTTCAATTTTTGGACATGGGGCCCAGTCGTTGTTCTGGGTCATACCATTTTTTAAACTTTAATTTAAATTTAATTTTAAAATTTTAAATTTAATATTCCACCCATTACTTGCCTACTTTTTTTTTTTTAAGTGCCGTCGTTTGCGATAAGGACGTGTCAGGAAATGTTCCCTTGCAGGTTTTCATGCTGCCGGGGCGGATCCCCCATTCTCCCCAGAGATGGGCCGACACCCTCGGCCTGGTCATCGAGAGGGAGCGTCTCCCGGAGGAAAAGGACGGACTCAGGTTTCTGCAGTTCCTCCAGCGAATTTTTGCCGTTTTCCCCCCATCTTAGTTTCGGCGGAAAAGTTCGCAATACATTCTCAAGAGAAAAAAAAAACTGATGAAATCAATTCGAGTTAGAAAATATTGTACAAATCGAATAACCGAGGAGAAATGCACAATAATCGATTTTCTGCAGAGGCAAGTCTTTTATCTTCTGGGTCTTCCGAAGTATTTTTGACTCTCCTTCCCAAAAACTTTATACTGAAGTTTCCATAATTACTAATAATTAAGGAAGTTGCCTTCCTGTTTATAGTAATAGTAATATTTGGATCCACTTTTCCCATTCACCTCAGAGTGGTGTATGCGATGAGAAAGGATGTCACTGCGGCATCGCAGAGTGGATGCCATCCCTGGATTCCGGAAGCCTGGGATTCCCAATTCCAGGCTTCCTGAATCCTGAGATACTTATCCCAGGCTTCCTGAATCTGGGATTCCCAGTTCCAGGTTACAGGACCCAGGTTCTCCTAATCTCACATAGTCGCTCCCCCCCCCAGGTATTTCGTAAACGGAACGCCCAGCGTCCTCTACGAGCGCTGGTTCTACTGCGAGGACCTCGGGACCCAGCTCGGCCCGCTCATCCAAGAATTCATGGACTCCAAGGCGAGGAAGACCGGCGTTTCTCAGGACGGCGACGTCCTCCCGTCCCCGCCCTGGCAACCAGACGACCAGACTCGAGTCGAAGATCCGTTCTATCTGCAGTGAGGAGCTATTCGACCGAATTATACACATATAATGACATTTATTAAATTTTGAAAGAGGAAAAAGTCGGATATTTAACGATCCAGTAATTAATTTATTTCATAAATATCATATGAAATGTATTATATAGGAATCATTCTAAAAATACTTAACATTTATGTACTTATAGAGTTTAAAATAATAATAAAAATTAAATCGTGGTTTTCCTTGCAGGGATTGGCTGGCCGAGCACCGCGACGAAATCGAGCGGAACGGCAAGAAGCGGCTGTTCGCGTCCTCGTACGCGTCCGACATCGACGTCCTGGGACGCGGGGCGCACGCCGGGTCCTGCGGCCGGGGCGACACGTGGCTCTACTGCATCGTGAGTTCCGAACGATGAATGGCGAATGCGAATGCGGGAATGCGGACGTTGAACGAATGAACTCGGTCTTCTATTGCTTGTTTCATACCAACTTATTTATCCATATGTATTAATTGTAATTGCTTGACTCCGTCCACGAATTGGACCTAATTCATAATTAATACTTTCATTTCCCCAATTTTAAATTACATTTTATAGAACAATTTTTCCAGTGAATCAGTCATGTGAATGACGGATTGAAGAATCCGTCACTCGCAGGAATGATTCAATTATTGAATCAGTCATATTGAATCAATTGAGTTTTAGTCTCGAATGGCCACGTAAGGCCATCCCAGTGAATCCACTCGGAGGCTTTTTTTTGTCTGCTTTCGCAAATTCAATTTTCGCAAAATAGAGAGGGAAGCAAAATGCGCATCTCTCTCTCTCTCTCTCTCTCTCTGGATGCAATTAATGTAGGAAAATTAGCAACAACAAAACAATTAGCAACAACAGCTAAATGACACAAGTTCCATTCATAACGAGACGAGACCGGTTTTGCAAATATTTTTCGCACGATATGGCATCGCGACCGCCTCAAGGCATTCGGACAAGAAAGGAACTGCATGAATATAAAATCCCTCCAAGAGTTCTCATCGAAATGGCACTGCAGCGATGTAATTGATGAAATGCAGAATGTTGCAAAAAATCGTCGGAAAAATTTAGTTTGACCTCCCATTAAAACAGAACATTCGCAGGAAATTCGCGAACCTTCCCGCAAATTTGTTCCAGTGCTTTCACATTGCAAAATTTTTGGCATGAATCAGTGAAATTGCAAATTTGCACGCTTGCAAAAATTAGCAAAATTTTTAACAACCTGCAGGAAGGGAGTGCTTCGGTGAGGAGCGGCGGAGAGGAGCAGCCGATGGAGGCGGACGCCAGCCTGAGGATCGCGGCGGGGACGCCGTGGTCCGCGGACGTCCGCGAGGGAGGCCTCGTCCTCTCCGTCGTCATGGACCCGACCCGGAAGCGATGAAAGGCGAAAGGGTGAAATACGTCGGGAAAGGCCTTTCCGAATCCTCGAATTTATCTTTAGTGCATTTAAAACCGCTTTCAAGATGATGGACGCTCGAATTGGATTTAAAACGTCCTCCATCCATTTCCTCCTTTTTTAAATTTGATAACGCTGATGGTATTTGATAAATTTGAATTCCACTATGCTTTCCTGTTTTTTTCCTAATTAAATTATAATATTTAGATTCCTTAAGAATAATGATGAAATGCATGATGCTTATGAAAGAGAATCATTCCGCCACCGAATATTGCGATCTTGAGTCCATCTGGAACGAACTTTTCGAGAATTTCGTCTGAGAATTATTTTTTTCCTTTCGATAGTTGAAGTCGAAATTCGTCGGCCTCATCCAATGTTGCATCCATTGGCCTCACTCAATTTTCCATCCATTGGCCTCACTCAATTTTCCATCCATTGGCCTCACCCAATTTTCCATCCGTTCGCCTAATCGTGCGAATATAAAACCTGGCTCGAGTTCTATAGAAAGTTTGCATGTATTAATTTCACCAAAAACCGTTCGTCCCAGAAATATCCGCTCGTAAATATGTCCCATGCATAGTTTCAAACAGATGATACAAATATATTTGAAATTAACGCTGCCAAAACTTTTCTACAGGGATTAATTTTAAAAAATCCGTGATTGACCGTAGGCATGGCACGTATGCCCCTGAAGAGCGATTAGGATTAGGATTGATCCTCCTCCAGGGAAAATCCGATGAAACAGAGGAATTAGGATGTCTCATCAGTCATTAATCCATTGCGATGCCGATTTTGTGGTGCGCCAATGGTCAAATCCGAAAAATTAAACATTTTTGCAAGGAAACAAAGCACTGCCAACTAGTGAATTTGCACGCTAAACGATCAGTATACTATCGGGAATGGACCAAAAAGTTTCGATTGGGAAGTACCAGAACAATAAATCCGTATTTGTACTGCAATGGGTTAATCAATATTATGATTTATCAATATGATACAATTGATTAATCTGTGAAGGTAAAACGTTCGCCTTTGGCGCCTGATTGAGTTCGCTCTCTTGAAAAATGGTTTTACGATCGACATCCTAACAAATGAATTAATGCTTCTGCCTGGATGGTACGGAAAATAATCGCATTTGACGGAACTCCCAGAAATTTCCAGGCTCAGCATAAATTTAATCAAAGTTGATTGTTGTCAATAATTAATATTTGTGAGGGACTTTCGACATGAAAAATATGAATTCTTGAAACGGAATATTTTTGCTCACAAAGTTACCTTTTTTCATTTTTTCGGATATCATTGATAAGATTTCCTTCATTTAGGTGCAATCCAGGAAAGGATTCATTGAGTTTATGTCTCAAATAAATTCGTCCAACTTGCCAAAAAAAAAACAGAATACTTTGGCTAACGTATTTATATATTTCCTCAAACAATTCAGCAAATATTCCAAAAACAACCCTTTTCAAATTTTCAAGCGCTAAATTCATTGCTTGCGCGTTCCGCATTGATGAACGAGCATGTGCAGGCAGGGAAGGCAGGGAGAAGCAGCCAATGGGAAGGGAGGAGCAGCCAATGGGAAGAGAGGAGCAGTCAATGGAGGGGAAGGTGCAGCCAATGGGGAACGGCAGCCTGAAAAATTGGCGGCACTGTCGTAGAGGGATCCCTTCTGTAATACCTGTATATTGCGATACGAAAAATAACCTGAACTTGTATTGGTTTAAAAAAATACTGGAAAACCTATCCTTAACAAAATTCCTTGAAGAATGGTGATATCGAAGCAGCCTTGCTCCCAAAAAGGGCCATATTGGCCATGATAATACAGTTTCAGATTTCAGCTAACAAGGTATGATGGAAAATTCATTATCATCGATAGTTATTTCCCTTTCTCCATTTCGTGTCCATGGTCTCATTCGGCAATGTTACTCATGTCTCCAAATTCTTGTCTTCCCAAGGGATATATAAATTCCTCGTTTTGAAATCAACTTGCTTCATTTCATCCTTGAAGTACTGGATCGTCTTTTGGAGTCCATCAACCACTTGCACCTAAAAAAAATTAAAATATGACACGTCTATGAAACTCAACGTCGAAAACCAAACGTTTGCTATTCTCAGCTCCCTCGTAGTAACCTTTCACGACTTAAAAGCCATCTAGGGAGCAGATTCGGTTAGGATAAAGTGAGTGGAAATTGCTTTAGAAAGCCGTTCATATGATGTAGAGTTTCCAAATAGTTAGGAAATTCTAATCTTCCAATTTGCCGAAGAATGAGCAGGTATTATGCTAATGAACCAAATATAAAGGAAAACACCAAAATCAAACCACCATGCCAATTCCGATGAGATACGCTCATCATGCGAGACATATGGGCGTCAAATTGGCAAACATATATTTTTTTGTTCAGTACGCATACGTGATTAGCACGAGCGTCCGGGTCCTTTATGACATATCCCACAAGTCATACATGACTAACCTTTGGTTTCCAGCTTAATATCTTCCAAGCCAGCGATATATCTGGTTTTCTCCTCGTGGGATCATCACGAACGCCCTCAACCTTCTTGATTTCACTTTTGGATTCGGTCATATTTTTTATTAGCAACGCTAATTCACCAATCTCGTATTCGTCGGGGTTGCCCAAATTCATCGGCATAGTGTAATTGCTGTCCATGAGAGCCACGAGCCCATCCACCAAGTCCGACACATACTGGAAACTCCTCGTGTTCTTACCCTCGCCGTAGATCTATGGAATACGGTGAAAGTGAGGGAAGTCTCAACGAAAGAATCGCACAGAATTCTCACAGGTCTTAGAAGGACAAACAGAAATGGGCTCTTCGCTGAGAGCCTGGATGATGAAGTTGGACACGACTCTGCCATCCTGCACGCTCATCCTGAGACCGAAGGTGTTGAAGATCCGGGCGATGCGGACGTCCACATTCTCGCGATCCCTGAAATGGGCTCTTCGCTGAGAGCCTGGATGATGAAGTTGGACACGACTCTGCCATCCTGCACGCTCATCCTGGGACCGAAGGTGTTGAAGATCCGGGCGATGCGGACGTCCACATTCTCGCGATCCCTGTAGGCCAGGCAGAGAGTTTCTCCCAAACGCTTCGATTCATCGTAGCACGATCGCGGCCCTAGAAAGGAATATATTTTCTTGAGCATTGCTTGTCATCTTAAGAGTGTATGGTAAAAGGGAATTATTTTTGGGTAATAACATAACGTCGGGGAGGCACATAACCCCCTTCTCGAAAAAAAAGGTAAGAAGAATAAGAGGAGTAAGGTAAGAAAAATAAGAGTAAGAAGGAAAATAAGCACGAAATGCAAGTGAACAGTGACCCAAACTCGCTGCCCGCACCTCCCCTCCCATCCCCTGGCCCTTCTTTGTACACACGCTACGATCATGTTTTGGGATTATGTGAGCCATAATATTGATACTTCATGTCCGCTTTGGTTGTCAAATGTAGGAATTCAAAATTCATTCATCTTGCTTGTTGAAGTTTCATTTAGGCAAATTTGAGCTACATTGTGGAAATTCATTTAGGCAGATGTGTTAGCATACAATCAAAGCGTGTTTATGGCATTATATTTTGCAGCCCTTGCAAGCTTCCAATGATTTTGTTCCGAGAAGCAGTGAAGAGTGGTAATTATCTTTGCATGCATACCCACGGGATTAACATTGCCCCAGTATTCCTCATTTTGGGGATGAACCTGGGGATCACCGTACACCTCGGATGTGCTCGTGAAGAGGAACCTCGCCTTGTTACGTCGAGCGAGATCTATGGAATAAGCGGCATTGTATAGACGGCATTGTATCCCATGCGAAGTGAGGAAACCTTGCTGAGAGCCTTACCCAACATATTGCGGGTGCCCTCTGTGTTGGCCAGAATGGTCTTGATGGGGTCCTTCATGTATTGAGGTGGGGAAGCAGGGCTGGCCAGGTGATAAATCTCATCCACCTGGAATAACGCAATTTTTTCCTACATCAGTACTTTTTCATTTAATTTACATGGAAGGCACACTCATTTTCGTTTCGGCAGATAACTTCAAGGAAAAATATTCATGATCGACCACACTAGGTAGAAATGATGTATTCCCATGAAATTCTCATGATTCGTCCATCTCTGTCCATGTGAATGTTGATACAAAGTAAATACCCACCCCCCCACCTCCATATAGTGTGAGCCTTGTTATGCAGTCAAGAGATTATAAAATAAATATTACAGGAAGACTTTCGTTGAAAAACTGCACCTCCAGGTTAATGGGTTGAACGGCGTCGTGAAGGATGAATTGAAAATTGGGATGTCCCACCCAGTGCTCGATGTTCCGCCTCTTCCCCGTGATGAGGTTGTCCAAGACGATCACGTTGTGTCCATCCTTGATGAGGCGGTCGACCAGGTGGCTGCCGACGAAACCTGCACCTCCCGTCACCTGCGAATATACTCCGAGTCGAATAGTTTGTATCGATAGTGTAGCGTGTGCCAAAAATATGCGAATAAGCACAATGAGGTTTTCCTTATTATCATGAATGACTGTTTGGAGTCAAGCTCTCTTGCTAGGGTTATTGATAGAAACGTTCCACCGTCGAAGGAGAACATTTCCCTGTATAAAACGTGTTCATGCAAGATAAATATATTTCCCTAACTCATCCTAAACTATCATGCACTCGTAAATCAACTTTTTTTAGGCTCCCGAACTCTGACTTACCACGTAATTCCATGAAAATGTCAATTGCACCTGTGAAAGGAGTGCAGAAGTAGCATTTAAAACGCGATACTGCTTATGAGAAAACGATTGGCATGCTGCTCATCACTACCTGCACAGCATGAACACATGCTTTAAATTTCTCTAAAGGCTGACCTATCAAGCTCCTACCTGAGCTTGCATGAAAATTCAATGTGAATGCAGATATATGTATATATACATATATATATAAATATTTATATTGGCCATATTGCTAATCATTGACCGCGTTCCCAAGTCTGTTGAACAGACTCTTTCTCGGGTCTCACAAGTATTTTCTTCTGATTGATCTCCTGCCGGAATTGGGCGAAGTCTTGGTCTTGATTGGGCACTACAGACTCTCCTCCCACCTGGGGAGAGGTAACTGGCCCCTCCTTCTCTCGAAGCGTCACGTCTGCATCGGCTTGATTTGTCGAATCCTGCACCATCCCCTTGATGCTCGAAGGGAGGCCCCAGACTTGAAGCGCGAAGCCCATCGTCATCGCGATCGCCATCCACAGGAGCAAGCACCCGAAGCACTTCGAGGAGGGCCAGCCGGCCCTCGCGGAAATTACGGACTTCATCCAGCTGGGCTCCTGCTGAAATATATAATTGTACAATCGCCATTCGTGAGTGTAGGTGAGCGATTTCCCTCTCACCTATCGTGAAGTACGATTTGGTACAAGCAAAAGTACAGACGCCCAAATTGACAACAGGCAATTTGAGTTTTCCGAACTGGGAATGTTCCTTCAACCAAAATGTGTGTTTACTTTTTTACTCGTTCGTGCAGAGTAAACAAAATGATAGTTTTGATCGCCTTCGCCTGGTCATTTTCCAAGTGGCCCAACGATATGCTTTTCCAGTTTTCTGAGCTCAGTTTCCTCTGAAAATCATACCATGACCGGCTTATCGCCGTTCTAACACAAATAGCGGAGGTACTATATACAAAAAAAATCAAATATGCGAAATCAAAAGAGGAGCTCAGTCCTGCTACTGTATTGTTTGGTTCTGCGCCGGTTTCGTTCGCAAGGGTCAGCTATGAATTCGTGGTGTTTCCAGCACATACTTCGTTGAACTCCAGGAAAGCTGGGAGAGAAGGTAGACTTCGAATTCGACAGAGAAAATCGTAGAATTCATCCAGATATCCTGAGGGCAATGTCGTTTACAAACCTGTGCCACGATACAAGACCTATCATCGAAGTAAATTCTGATCATGTCCTATAACATCGATTAACTCTAATTGTGGGAAACTGCGCTCTGGTCAGAATTCACATGAACGACGTGATTTATTATTTGTACTTTTATCTTTCATACGCCTTCATAGGAGGTATGGAGGGGATTGACCCGCATCCCAGTCTTCATACTACTAAAGTTTTGTAGGACATATTAATATTATATATATTGTATTTTTTAAAGGTATAACTAGTAAATCAAGTTAATCGTTTTCAATGCTAGCTGCCATTATTATAATCTAAATTACGACGTAAATGATGACGTTTGGGACACAATAGAACCCCCACTCATGACTAGGCAGTGTAATAAATCAATGCTTCGGATTTCGCATACGCATGTGAAATCTGATTCAATTCATCAAATCAAATATGAGCCAAAGCAGCAGCTGGGACAAAAAAAAGATACATGTCCACAATCTCCATCCCAAATAATAACAGTCGTGCCTGAGATAACAGTCGAAGGTTATCTAGGATGTCGCAATAGATTTTCCTCGTTTCATCAGTTTTCGACATTGGTTCTCTTTAAAACTCGAAGTAGTCTGAACAGAAAAATGATTGGTCACTTCATATGGAATCATGCATTGCACATTAATAGTCACATTATGGACAATCTGTGTTGATGTGCAAGGTATTTTATACCAATATCCCCGTAAATACCCTAGTAATTAGGTTTATGTTCATGGTGTGATATCCTTAATGAAGAAGATTCACTCATCCTTATTTGCAACGATGCAGAGCATTCGAAAGCTCGCACCTATGAAAAATTCCAATGGGATCATATAAGAATCTTATTTTTAAAATGCATAATTCAAGAAAGGTCGTTATTGCCTATTGGAACGTTTCTCATGGCTGAAAATGAGCTAATTATGGGAATGAAGCAATTTCTTTGAATGATTTGGTATATACAAAAATCCTCAATTCATCTCACCCGATTATCCATATCCCATTATGGCGAAGAGCGCAATTCAGTCGCGTCCCTCAAAACGTCACCGCGTCGCAAAAGACACCAGAAGCATGAGACTCCTCCATCCCGTTTGCCAACTGCAAAAAAAAGGAATCGATGAACAACACCTCCACGAACAACACAAAGCCGTTTCGCAAGCGGTGGGGATGCACGCAGGGGAGGCATGCCCCTTCAGAGACAGCGCGGAGAACGGATGAGATAACCCAGCTGGATAACTGAGCTGGCTCAGCGATAATCATGGAAGACACGGAATAAAACAATGCATTATCCATCAAATGCCAACTGAAGAGTATTGCAGGCTTTCTGATTCTTTAGGCTGAAACCCAAAGGAAAAAAAAAACACTAACGACGCTGCCCTGCGGATGGCGAAAATTACCATTTTTCCTTTGCGGCTCTGTCAGCAAGCCCTGAGTTTCTGAGGTTGAAGTTAAAAAAAAAAATGATCCTCACGGGTTTTCCGGCGTCTTCCCTTAGGATCGCCATAAATAAGATGATGGATGGGGGCGGCAAAATTCCCCTTCCGGCTGCCCCAGCTTCCCTCGACTGTTAAATGCAGAATCGAATAAAATGCAAAAATCCAGGCCAATTCGATGGACTGTGGCATTGCCATAATTTTTCTCTTGCTGATGTTCTTCTTGAAGGCAATAGTAAAAAAAAGGGAAATTTTCGCATTTCTATTATGTTGTTGTCAAGATTAAGTTGAACATGAACAATACGTTCTTAACATGTCCCTAGAAATGGAAGTCTCCTGGAGTCTGGGAGGCGATGAACCCTCCTCGTTCGGCTTGCGAGCCTTCCGTTTGAAAACACGCGCACCGGTCCCCAGAACTGGCCCTTAAATTAATATGAATGAACACATTCAAACACATTGATGAACACATAAATGTCCTCATTCAAATTAATTTTACCCCTTTTTCCTTTTATCACCACTGTGAGAGAAGCATCTTGAATCTGTTCCTTCGAAGATATGTAGGAATGTTGTGCCTTGTATGAACCCTATTATCTATTTATGTTTAAAATATCACATAGAATCCTCTCGGATTTTTCCGCTTCGATCTCTTGCGCAAACTCTTACAATCTCAAAAGAAACTTATTTCGCCATCGAAAAGAGAATGCTTGGAGTTTCCATGGGAACTTTTAAAGAGTGGTATGTTAGAAGCAGCATTACATTTAAAAAAATGAATTATATGTAGTTTCAGTGTTGAAATGAGGGAAAAGGAAATTTATTTGGGTCGAGTTCTTTATTTTCAGGTTGCGCTGTCTCGCTGGGCGAGGATAATCGCGGCGTTAGCGCCTGTCTTCCCACGGGAGGTACAGATTCCTTGTTTTGAAATCGTGCTGGTTCATTTCGTTCTTGAAGTACTGGATCGTCCTTTTGAGCCCATCAGCCACTTGCACCTGGAAAGGAAAAGCATGAATTAAAAGCTATCTCAGGTGCCTGCAACCTGGGCGACCTGTTGAAAATGGCGATTACGCCTACTCCCTTAATGGGATTTGACGGTTCATTTTCTCTTCCCCGCAACCTTATCCCTTACCTCTGAGAGAATTCCCAGCACCCTAAAGAATCACGGCAAAAGAAAAATATATATTCGATCATATTTTAGTAGAAGATGGAGAGGTAATATGCGAAGAGACCCAAATTGAAATAGAAGCACCACATTAAATGCCAAAGTCGTCAAAGAAAGTCTATTTCTGCCAAGGATGTGCAGATTTGGAAAGGAAAAAAAAGGTAATAGTCTAACATCATCGATAAGCAAGCATAGGCACCGACGCAAACAGGACTGACCTTTGGTTTCCAGCCCAGGACTTTCCAAGCCAGCGATATGTCTGGTTTCCTCCTCGTGGGATCGTCACGAACGCCCTCGACCTTCCTGATTTCGCTCTTGGATCCTGTCATCTTCTTTATTAGCGTCGCGAATTCGCCGACCTCGTATTCGTCGGGGTTGCCCAAATTCACCGGCATGGTGTAATTGCTGCTCATCAGCGCAATGAGGCCCTCCACCAAGTCCGACACATACTGGAAACTCCTCGTGTTCTTACCCTTGCCGTAGATCTATGGAAAATGGCGAAAGTGAGGGAAGTCTCAACGAGACGAATTGCTAAGGATTATCACAGGTCTTAGAAGGACAAACCGTAATGGGCTCTTCGCTGAGAGCCTGGATGATGAAGTTGGACACGACTCTGCCATCCTGCACGCTCATCCTGGGACCGAAGGTGTTGAAGATCCGGGCGATGCGGACGTCCACATTCTCGCGATCCCTGTAGGCCATGCAGAGCGTCTCTCCCAGACGCTTCGATTCGTCGTAGCACGATCGCGGTCCTAGCTCATCCTGGGACCGAAGGTGTTGAAGATCCGGGCGATGCGGACGTCCACATTCTCGCGATCCCTGTAGGCCATGCAGAGCGTCTCTCCCAGACGCTTCGATTCGTCGTAGCACGATCGCGGTCCTAGATAAAACAGAGCCCTTCGCAATAGCTTCAATTTGCTAAGACTGTAATTTCAGCCTTGCTGATGAAGCAGTGTCAAGTAGTATTTCACTAGGAACTCGTGACTACTAATCATTTAACGTTTTGCTTTCCCAATGATTGATTTGCTGCCGTGAACTGCAAAATCAGTTATCATCTTGCTTATAGCTGTTTTCCCCATTCAATGTGAAATATATAGGCCAGTATAGGCTAGCATGACAGCAAGAAGCTCATGATAATATCATATTTTGTTTTCTTTTCAAATATTCCTTGGAAAATTACTAAAGGGTGGGAAATTCTCGATACATACCGACTGGATTAACATTGCCCCAATATTCCTCCTTTTGGGGATGAACTTGGGGATCACCGTACACCTCGGATGTGCTGGTGAAGAGGAACCTCGCCTTGTTACGTCGGGCGAGATCTGTGGAATAGGTGGCACTGTAAGGAATACATTCTCCAAAAAAATTAGCCATTATAGTGGGGGGATCTTGGAGAGAACCTTACCCAACATATTGCGAGTGCCTTCTGTGTTGGCCATTATTGTCTTGATGGGGTCTTTCATGTATTGAGGCGGGGAAGCAGGACTGGCCAGGTGATAAATCTCATCCACCTGCAAGGACACATTGTGATAGTAATTACAATCATATTTCACTTCCGCCAAATCCCACCTCTGATATGGAAACACTTTTTGTCTCCTGCTATCTGATATTTCGTAAGGCGAGCATACAACACTACCTTTCGAAAAGTGAAGCCCCGCCCATGTACATGTCCATTGCCTCCGTTTTAAAAGAGTTGTTCTCATATTGTACCTTGGATTCTGGTGATAGCATGAACCAATTCAAGTAGGGGGAAGTTCCCATCGGGTCAACGTGTCTTCCCTCATTTCTTCATTCATACACCTTAGAGCAAAGCAGAGCAAAAGTGCTGCTTAAGCTCGACTGCTCTCCCTCTCTACTCTCACTCATTTAAGGACATCAAATAACCATGCCACATTACACCACAGTGGGCGACCGCCTTCCACTCAAGAAAATAGTCATATGCTCTTCGTTTGCTATGCGGCATCTTCATGGTTACTAATGCCACCGATGGCGCCATCTTGTCGTTTTGCATATTGATCTTTAATGCTGGCAATATACCATGTTTGCTATGCTCCAGGAAAAGCTTTACGACTCACGGAAGAGCAGAGATGCATACTTTCGGGAAGAACGTATACTCCATTATGAATTGCGAAACGCATGCCAGTCACATTTTTTCAGATGAATGCACGATTTTACTTTTTACTTCGATCGATTGGCTTTGGGGAAAGAGAAAGGTCTCCATTTCTTCGCCGGAATATAAAGAAAACCTTCCCTTGGAATTTTTAAGAAAAATAGAACATGTATGACTCCTTGATCATGCTTCCATTCGGGGCTGACGTGCATAGGAAGTACATTCGAAATACAGACGTCTCCCGAGGGGGCATGACATGTCATTCTCTCCTGAGTGCACCCTTATTGGAAATCCTAAATTATTTTTTTAAATAATAAAAATCTCATATGATACCTTTAGGATTCTCAGAGGATACAACAGTATAATGATTCTATAGGATCATATGAGAACCTCCGGAATCCTGCAAGAATCCTATCATCTTTTAATGATTCAAAAAGCTCATAGGATCCTAGAGGATCTTTTCGTGAGAGCAACGACTAAACCAAAAAATTTGTTCTAAGCGCACCTCGAGGTAGATGGGTTGAACGGCGTCGTGAAGGATGAATTGAAAATTGGGATGTCCCACCCAGTGCTCGATGTTCCGCCTCTTCCCCGTGATGAGGTTGTCCAAGACGATCACGTTGTGTCCATCCTTGATGAGGC